TTGCTGACGGTGCTGCCGTAACCATCTGCCTTACCACCACCACAATTCCATGTACCCCCTTGGAACCATCTTTCCTACCTGGGGCATGCTTTTGAGCAGAACACCTTGCGCTACAGCTGGTAACAGGCCGGCTTTCCACAGCGCGCAGCATAGATCCAGGGTGTAAATGGAAGACGTTGAAAGGCACAGTGCTGACATGATGTGTGGAGGGGAAAACTTGTGCAGCAAATTCTGGGCAGTTCTCCTCATTGTATCAGCCCTCATATAGGAAAGGATGGCAGCTGAGGCAGAAGGTGTGGCCTGCGCTACTTGCATTGACTGGTGAACCACCTCTAGCTCACGCCCCATTGGCTCCCTGGGCAGATAAGTAGACCTGAAGTCTGTGCAGGCCCCCTTTGATGCCACAGAGAAAAAGCCTGATCCAAAGCCTACTGCAGACAGTGGGAGTCTCGCATTGAGTACAGTAGGCCTCAAAAGACACAGCCCTGTGGTATGCTGCCTGTAGCTCTCCCACCAAGACTGTGCACAGAGAGCGTGCCCTAGAGAGCAGCTTCTCCCTGGTTCCACCCATTCCCAGTGGAGCCCCAAACACATTTTGTCTGTGTTGAGGGGCTGTATGCAGAGAGGGCGGAGACCCTACACTGCCTTATCTGCCCTTCCCCAATGCTAATCTTCCCCCAGTTTCCATGGACGTTTTCTCCCTTCCATGCGATGCACCTGGTCTTTGTTTGGGAATTTCAGTTCTAATAAGTTCAGCTGCTTAGAACCGAGCTGCTGCTCTCCTTAGAATCATAGAAATGTTGGGCTGGAAGGGACTTCGAGAGACCATCTACTCCACCCCTGCCCTGAGCCAGCACCAAGTATACTTAGACCGTCCCTGACAGAGGTTTCATCTCACCTGTTCTTAAAAACCTCCAATGGCACGAATGTCCCAACCTCCCTTGGGAACCTGTTCCAGTGCTTAACATTCCTTAGCATTAGAGTTTTTCTTTGCTGCAGACCAAGCCAGTTGCTTCTTGTCATACTCACGGTGGACAAGAAGAACAATTGATCACCTCCCTTTTTATAACACTTTAGATAGTTGAAGACTTATCAAATTCCCCCTTCAAGACATGTTAGTTAAATGTTTTAGGATTTCAAATCAAGTTTGATTCTGGTTTTGTGTGAAAGTCAGGCTTAGTCATAGTCTAATCTCATAGTCTCATCCAATGTGATTCACTGAATACCCAGTTCCTTTCCAGCCCAACCAATTGCTAATAAAGGCTTGCCTAGATCTTATGTTTCCTCATCCTGTTAGCCGGACTGTTTCAGTGTTAGCTGTACAGAACTAGTTTATGGTTGAAAGATATCATTTGGCCACATACACACAAAATGTATGACTATGCTCCCAATAACAAGCTCTTGCAAAGAAGAAACATGTCAGAATGAGGATAAGTAAGATGAGAAGAGGTGAGACCTATTGATGGACAAAACTAGGACGTAGGAGGACTGCGTTTGATTCCCAGCTGTACCATGCCCATGGGACTGATTACTAGCTGGACCAGGATTCATTTCACAGCAAGCTGGACTGATTGTTAGCCAAAGCTATAGGAGACCGACACTGAGTACAGACAATGTGCAAACAATTCATTGACAGGATGGTCGGGAATTTCAAAGGAGCCTAAAGTAGCTAAATGCCCCGCCATAATCTCTAGCCTGGCATAGGAATGGCAGACACTATGGCAGTAAACTGGATTAAATCCACACATTTTGTAAATGCTGAGTATTTCAACATCCTGCATGGACATCATTACATCCACAGTGTCCTGCTTCCATTGTGAAGCTATGCTCTCTATGTCCAGTGTCGTCAACATAGCAGGGCATTTTGCTAAAAAGCACGTCACAGTTCTCACTCCCAAAACCAGGCATGTGAATTTGCTATGACCAGTGTTACTATCCTGCTTATAGATAATTGCCATTCACCTCAGCTGGTTCACACACTGCTTTGCTATGCTGACATTTGAACCTCCCCGGTGGACAGCCACACTCCACTGAGCTGATGATAGATACTGGTTCAGCTGTGTCATTTCGGTGGGAATCTTTGTACCTGCCCTGTTTTCAGAGTGGGCATCTTACAGAACCGAAACTGTCCTTGGTGACATACTGGAAGAAAATCAGCCCTTTGCCAGGGTTGTCTTATTTCACTGGTGACACATGAACTTGCAAAGTTCCATCACGGGAAAATGGACCATTTCACTGCTTTTAACATGAGAGTTGCTAATGCACATGCACAGAATGTTGCTATCTGCTTAACCCCTGACTCTGCTGTGACTCAGGCATACTTGCCTGTGCAAATACATTTGTGCATGAAGTTAATCCCAGCAGGTCAATCCCTTCCCACCAACAGAAGAAACTCAGATGCTTGCCTCTGTCTGTCTGGGAAGCTGGGTCCTAGGAGCTACAAACACATGAGCCGGATTTGGGAAAAAAGAGAATAATGCAATCCAGCGCAGCAATGTGTGTAAGGAAAATAAACAGATCCGCACTGTAATTTCAGTGGCCAGAACTCCAGTGGGGTTCTTTAGGGAGCGTTCGTAAACCCAGTTTTGTTTAAAGCAAACAAAAAGAAAGCGCAGTTAAGTCTAGCTATCTGTTTCATGGTATTATTTTCTTTGTCATAGAGTAGCACCCAAGGGCCCCAACTGAAATCAGAGTCCTGCTATGGCAAGTTCTGTACACACAGAGGCACAGTCCCTGCACCAAAGATCTGACAAGCTAGCCACAGGAAGTGCTATGATCCCCATTTCACAGATGGGGAACTGAAGCACAAGGCATGGGCTTGCCCAAGAGCGTCACACTGTGGAAGAGCTGGGAATCAAACCCAGACCTCCTACGTCCTAGTCTAGTGTCATCAACAAACATGGAGAAAGGCTTGTCTACTGTACATGTGATCAGAGAGGAAACTCTGGCCTCCTCTTCACCTTCCACATGTACTTCAGAGTGAAGGCGTGGGGGCTCTTGCTTTTGATGGCATGGGCCAATAGTGGCACTAAGGAGGGGGGCCTTCAGGTGTATGTGTGGCACCTTTTCACATGGGGCTGGAGAGTGAACCTGCCCTCCACTCACCCAGTAGTAGTGCCTGTCCCGCAGGGCTGAGCCTGGCTCCCTGCTCTGGGCGTTGTGACATGGCACATGGCTTTGTGTGGTGCTGTGACCCCATGCATCATGTCAAAACGCCACTCATTCAAATTTGGCCTGGCCGCCCCTCGGGCATGATGAGCCAAACAGGAATGGTGCTGCAACCCCATGTGCCAGATTGCAATGCCCGGGGTGGGGAGCTGGGGCCTGCCCCATGGGACAGGAGATGCTGCTGCAGCCACCATGAATGACGCATTGCTCCCCTGCTTGCAAAACCTGGCTCTGCCACTGGTCTGGGCTCTGGTGATTTCTTACCACTTATTTATTATTTGTATAACAGCAGCACCTAGAAGTGCCAACCAGACTGAGGGCCCATTATGCTAGGGGCTGTACATATAGATAATAAAACAGAGTCCCTGCTCCAAGGACCTTACAGTCTCAGGTAGATGAAACCAACAAATAAGGGAAGGAATGGAGTAGGAGCAATACATGGGTTTTTGCACAGACTAGCCGTGTGTACAGTATGCAGGCACAGCTTGGGTTTTTTAATGGCGCTAGACAAGCAAATCAGCAATAGTAAGCGCATTTACCATCTGCTTCGCCATCAGCAGCTTGGGAGCATTTTCCCCAACAGAATGAAGTTGTGTGATGTCATTGTAGCATCAGAACATGGAGTATGCCCATATAGAACAGAGATTATGTAACAAAATACCTATGACCTCTATGGCTGCTTTATGATGCTGATGTTGTGTTTGCTGTATTGATTCCTTCACATTAGAAACTCTTCTGGCTAATTTGTACCTGTGCTTATTAGTTTGACAGCTGCCCAAAAACCTTAACAGATTTATTACTGTAGCTGGTGCAAGTCTGGCCATGATTATGACCTTTTTCATTCGCTGTTCATTAAAGCTGTTTTTTTGAAAGACGCTAATACATTTTCATGAAAAATGTCAAAATAATTGGCTCACAAATGTAAAAAAGGATTATTTTTATAGATTTTTCAAGGAATGTTTTTTTACCCAGACTGTCCAACGAGAAGCCTTTAGACCACGTGTCCTTCCAAAAACCCAGAGGGCCAGATACTCGGGTGGTGTGCCTTGGAATGGAAGTCACTGGAGCTGTAGCAATTTACACCAACTAAGGAGCTCTTCCACTGACTTCAATGGAGTGGTGGCATTTTACACCAGTTGGGGGCCGGGCCCAAACACTTTATTCTTTCATAAACATGAGGAAAGATTCTTTGGAAAGCAGACAGAAGGGGGGAAATGCTGAGAGGAATAAAATATCAGCATAAATAACTCATTCTTAGAAGAGTTTTGCACTGTCTGGAGCTTTATGCTCTGTATGAAGGAAAAATGAGAACATCTGGAAATCTTTGGAAAGAAAAGGAAACATGAGTTTTCCTTCGACATCAGAAAGAGTTATGGCAGATGCTAAAGGGATGTAGAGATGTTTTATTATGGGCTTTGAAACACGAAGTTTTTGGTTAGGTTAGTAAATAATTCAAAAAATGATTTGTGCTGGCCCATCTGAGCTCAGGTATTGCGGGAATAAAGAACAAACCCCTGGCATCACTGAGCACAGTAATACACTTTTATTACCAGCCACATAATCACTAGCTTCCTGAAATACATTATTAAAAACAAGGTTAGTACAAGCTGCTACAGACCCCACCAGTCCAGAGCCCCAGCTTGTGAGGCATCCAATAAATAAAGTACCATTTGGGGCCATTTCATTACGGCTGTGGTAGCCAGGCATGAAGCTGAGTTCTGCTCGGACTATCTGCAGAACACCCATTGCAAAGCACTAAGGGACAATGAACCCCACCCGGAAGTTGGAGATTTGGGTGGGAGGGGAAAGCACAAAGTAAGAAGGTGCAGTACCTGCTGGAGTAGGTGGTTTGGTTTTTCCTTCCTCAGCACCCTCTCCTGGATCCAGTTCTCAAATGGAAGCAGCCCGTTTATCAAGGTAAAATGCTGTAACCACCTGTAGAAAGAAAGGTACGAGGGTGTTACCTTTTCACCTTGCGGCAGAGGCTTGCACTTGTGCAGATGTCCAGCTTTCAGTGACATGCACATTTCAAGCCTGTTCCCCACTTGTAGCAGGTGAATGGCACATCTTGGCTTGTCTCCCTCCCTGCCTGCCCTGTTAACTCTTTAAGCTCCCATCCATCTGGTGGACGTCAGTGCATTGTCCTCCGCAGTGATGTACCATCACATGACATTTCATCGTCAAAGAGGAGGCTGTAAAAGCCTTCAGTTTGGAGGGTAGTAATCAGGTACCCAGCTATTACAGGACTCCAGTGGGGATAACAGTATCAAAATAGTGTTCTGATTTTTCATTGTGTTAGTCAACACCTCTTGGTCTCAAAATAAGACTAGTACAGTGGCTCTCAATGTTTCCAGACAACTGTATCCCTTTCAGGAGTCTGATTTGTCTTGCGTACCCCTAAGTTTCACCTCACTTAAAAACTACTTGCTTACAAAATCAGACATAAAAATACAAAAGTGTCACAGGATAGTATTACTGAAAACTTGCTGACTTTCTCATTTTTACCATACAATTATAAAATAAATCAATTGGAATATAAATACTGTACTTAAATTTCAGTGTATAGCATATAGAACAATATAAACAAGTCATTGTCTGTATGAAATTTTAGTTTGTACTGACTTCACTAGTGCTTTTTATGTAGCCTGTTGTAAAACCAGGCAAATATCTATATGAGTCAATGTACCCCCCTGGAAAACTGCTGTGTATCCCCCAGGGTTATGTGTATCCCTGGTTGAGAACCACTGCCCTAGGGAAGGGCTGGAAGGCCAGAAGGAATGGAATCTTCCCCCCCCAACTTTCCGCTTTGCTGCATCATTGCCACTCAGCAAAGACCGAACCATCTCTTGCCCACAGAATATTCATGCTGCATTCCAGATAGTCTATGCTGCAGTGCATTGCCCCCAGCAAAAGTGAAATAATTCTGATTATTCTGATCGGGTTCCTATGGAGTCATGGAAATTAAAAACACTCTGTTACATTCTAATACTGTAATATAATTACTTTGCAATTGGTCACCTACAGCTTTCAGAAACGTTAATGAATTAAGCTGTACAACACCCCTATGACGTACGTAAATACTGTTATCCTTATGTGGCAGGTGGGGAAACTGAGGCACAGGGTGAGCAGATGACTGCCTCAAGTTCACACAGTGATTCAGTGATAGAACCCAGATTTCCCGAGCCTTGCTTCCACCTTTAAAGAGATGCAAAGGGGTAGATTCTGGCCATAAATGGCCAATGGTGAATTCCCTGGTGGAAGTGTGTGCCCCACTGATGTAAAGCAGGCACAACCATCTCCTGGGTCAGCTGCTCCGCTGACCCCCTGCATAATGGGTGTACCTAGGGAAGACGACGACGACGTAGGTGTGTGGCAGAGGTCCACTCTGCTAAACTGGTTCTCTAGTGTTGTAGGGTCCCTCTGTGATCTTATACTGGTGGTGTAGGTTAGAGCAAGCCATAACTTCCTTCCCTGTGCTGAGCAGAGCTCGGGTCAGGGGAGAACTGGGTCTAGAAGTGTGCTGTCACTGGTGTGAGATCCAGAAGAGAGGCCATCTCCCTGCTCTGTGGTGTGGTGCCTCTGCGTGGGTGTGGGAGTGGGTGAATGTTTGGAGCCAGATTCGGTTAGCTCAAGAAGTGTCCTGGTGAGATTACAGCTCACAGAGCGGGAGGAGGAGGGAAATCTCATCCAAGCAGCTTATAATTTCACCACATTGCACCCTGAATCAGTAAAGAGGTGACTTCTGAGTTTGGATCTGACCCAAAACTGAACTGAAAAGCAGAGGGAATTGGTTTGAATCTGGAGATTTGAATTGATCTTCCCCACCAATGCGGAAGGATTTGGACCTAGACTCTGATGACAAGCCATCCTTAATATGATGCTCCGAAAGGCATGACTTTAGACACCATCTCACAGTGGAATCCAATTTGCTGCCCACTATCATCCACAAGTAGCTGCCACATTACTACTTTCCAAGGTCTAGATTATGACATTCCTTGTGTGGGTGTAGGGTAGAAGAACCTTTGAGGCATGCCCCATGGATGCTCCCCAAAAAGGAGGATGAGGAGGGGTTGCCTCTAGGGGGGCTTGGCCAGCACCTGTACTCCCTAGAGTGCCCCTGAGTCGGCGCGGTTCCTCAGCACCCCCTGCTCAGAGCTGTGCTTTATTGACTCAGTCTCGCTGCATATATCTGCCTCTTAACGAATATTGGGCCTAGATTGTCATTGAGCACTGCCACTGACTTCAGTGGGACTACTCATGTGAGCAGCCACTTCCTAAGTGAGTAGCAGGATCACAGCCTTGCCCTTGGATTATTTCCCCCTGTATTTCCAGTATTAAGCTTCTATTTTACAGATGGAATCTTGCTGCATTATTTCCTCTTTATATTTCTAGTCCCATTCTATTATTTCTCTATCCTCACCCGTTTTTGCAACACCTCCCAATATAGCATTAGCTGTGCAGCACTTCAGACAGGCCCTGTTCACCGCCTTCCTGCCCTCTCATTAATGACAGTGTGAAATGAAACGGGACCTGCCAGCCATCCCTGCAGTGGCACCCCGCAGGCCAGCCCTCACCGCCTGCTGCTTTGCTGTTCATCATTACCCTGAATCTGTGGTGGTCCAGCCAGTTTACAGTCCATGGGAGAGGGCTCATCTGCAGGCCCTAGGAATGAATTATTCAAGGAAGCTTGTGCAAGGCTTTACTGAGTTCTAAATACATTACACATCAGTCACATTTCCTTCATGCGCTCATTTGGCAATCCATTAAAAAGTTAATTAATTTTAATGTCTGGCTTTCTGTACTGATGCCTAGAATGGGCTTTAAAAATAAAACACATCCAAATCTGTCTGAAACAATCACACAGGGGGACTGATGGGAACTGGCTGTCTCGCAGAGGTGGTCTCCCTCCCTTGTATTATTCTCTATGTGGTTTCAGATAGAGGTCTTGTTCCTCTGGAACTGTTCTAGTGAACCGCTAAAATAGTTTTGGGCTCTGCTTCAGAGGTGGCTGCATTTCAGAACTGTGATGTAAACAGTGTTATAGGTGGGTCTGAGCTGTAAAATTTGGATTTATATTTTGAAACCATGCAAAGGGACTGATCCAAAAGGTAAAATATTCAAAAGTGCCTAAGTCCCATTTTCAAAAGTGAGTTAGGAGCCTAAGTGAGTTAGGAGCCTAAGGCAATGGGACTTTGACTTCAAGGAGCCTCTTTAGAAGTTTAGGTTCCTAACCACAGTTGCCAACTTTCACATGGTAAATAAGCACCTCAATTTTCACAATAAGCCAAAAATCAAGCTAATCCCATTTCAAAACAAGGCCAAAACAAGCCAATCCCTAAGAATCCCAACACTCTATGTGAGTAGATTCCCCCCGGCGTGCAGTCTGGGACTGTGGTGGGCCTGCTGTGGGCCCGACTCTCTCCCCACTAAAAAAAAAAGAAGCAACAATCTACAACAAGCAACAAGCCATAAACTAGCCAACAAGCACCTCACAAGTCAATTAAGCTAAAAACAAGCCCAATTTCTGTGGGTTTTTTTTTGTGGGTTAGGCATGTCTGGTCCTAACTCACTTCAGGCATATTTGAAAATTTTACCCGAAGTGCTGTGGGAAGCCTCCCACAGTTTGAGATTTTTCCAGCCTGACTTCAGTCACTGATGAAGGCTGGAACATTCTGATCCAGATCTGGAATCTGAAACCACCGTCTGTACTCTTAGAGTTATAGATTCTTTAAGGCCAGAAGAGACCATTCTGGTCATCTAGTTTGTCCACTTTCTATACCATGGACTGTAAACCACCACCCAGTACATTGGTTATTCATTAATTCCTGCGTTGAACCTCTGGTGGAGTGAAGGACAAGTTTTCTAGAGTGACCTCCAAATGTGTCCATGCAATCACTCTGTGTGTGCAAAAATTCTCATGCTAGCCCACAGTTCAGGACAGCACTTAAAGTTAAGCACATGGTTAAGTTTCCCTGACTTCAAAGCAACTTATGCTAGTGCTTAAAGTTAAGCATGTGCTTAAGTGCTGGCCTGAGTAGGGCTGCTTTCCTGATGTGGGGCTATCATGTGCCAAAATATCATTTGATTTGCTTTGGAGTCTTTCAAGTGCCTGTCCTCTGCTTTCAGCACGTTTACCACGTTTAAACTGACATTTAATTCTAAACACCATATAATAAACTCTTCCCCCAGCAGTGGAGTATTTATAGTTACCTACCACTCTAATCACAGTCATCACATTGGTCCCATTTCCTTACCCGTCATTCAGCCCTGTGCCCCAGATGCCTAGCAGGGCACTGCAGTACGGCCAAAAAAGCTAAGCAATCCAGGCCCTGCTGGACCAAGGAGGGAAGCAGATTCCAGGGGAGGACTCTTCTGGAGAACTTGTGAGAGCAGTCTCTTTCCAATTCAGTCTGCAGCGGGTTCCATCTCACACGTCCCTGCTAGGCAGCATTGCACATGAAGGGAGCTGGTGTCCCAGACCAGCAGCTCCCATGTGTACGCACACATTTAATCTTGGAGTCCCTAAATTTGCGGACTCAAATTCTGGCCAGGATCCTGAGAAGTGCTGAGTGCCTCCTGGTTGGTATGGAGCACCTGCAGTTCCCCCTGGAGTTCAAGGGTATTGAGGTGCTGAGCATGTCCCCGTAGCTCATGCTGAGGCCCTTTGAAAATCTGTCGGTGTAAAGTGCCTTGGGATCCTTTGGCATGGAAAGGTCTGGAGTCATATAGTCATACTGCTTGTTATAACAATCTCAGTCATACCTTGCGCTCTTCCCATCTGCTTGTTGTACCTGTGGTTGGATACTTAGCAAGCTCTTTGGGGGCAGGGACCATCTTTTCATTGTGGCCTCTATGAATCACCATAATACAAATAAATAATAGAGAATCAATATAAAGGATCACGCTGTAAAAAGGGAGGATTTGGATACATGCCC